AGACAGCAGACAGTCTGGAATGCCGAGTCCTAACCAGCTGCAAGAAGCCAAGTTCTCTTTAACTGTTGCCCTCAGGGAGGCTCAAAAGGGATTTTCACTGAGTTGGAGGTTAGACCAGAAACCTCTGAAGTTTCCTAGACCGTGATTTAGTGCAATCTCCTGTGAGTCAGGCTAGTTTACGTTCAGCTATTCCCAGAACATCCAGCGGGGGGGGGGGCAGTTGTTTTGTACCTGGAACTCGGGGTGGATGTCTTGTTGTACTTGGGTGGTTGGGGGTGGGTTCCAGGGGAGTTGGGGGGGAGCGGTAAGGAAGGTTCTCAGTCTCACTCTGGATCTTGGGGAATCAGGTGGGTCCAGAGAAGCAGAAGGAGCCATTTGTGTTTGCCTCGGTGAGAATCCTGGGTGCCTGGCTGGCCGAAGAGACGTCATCCCTTCGAAAGGAGGTCTGCCAGCTGCTGCCCTTCCTCGTCCGATATGCCAAGAGCCTCTATGAGGAGGCTGAGGAGGCTGGCGATCTTTCACAGCAGGTGGCCAATCTAGCCATTTCTCCTACTCCTCCAGGGCCATCCTGGCCTGGGGATGCCCTCCGGTGAGTCACTGAACGAGTGAATGTCGCTAAAAGGTCGCCAGCCTTCCAGCCTGGCCATCCTACCAGAAGAGAGTGAGCTGGGGCTCCCTGCCTCCTTGGGGGCTGGTCAATTCCAGGTGGTTTCACTGTGGGCCTTATTTACCCTTTTCCTCAGCTTTTGTCCAGAGACTCCCCAGTCCGGGGTGACATGAATACTGTCTTTATCCGTGGGTGGAGTAGCTCACTCTGACTGGGGTTCTTAGGCAGGGACTTGTTGGGCACTCATGTCCCCAGCCCCCTCGTGGCTCGTGTCTCTCTCTAGGCTCCTCCTGCCAGGCTGGTGCCACCTGACTGCAGAAGATGGGCCCCGGGAGATCCTGATCAAGGAAGGGGCCCCGTCGCTGCTTTGCCAATACTTCCTGCAGCAGTGGGAGCTCACATCTCCTGGACACGACACTTCAGTGCTGCCTGACAGCGTGGAGATTGGCCTGCAGACCTGCTGCCACATTTTCCTCAACCTTGTGGTCACTGCACCCGGACTGATCAAGTGAGGGGCTGGGGAGGGTTTGGACCATTCGTGGTGTAGCTGTTGGAGAGGGGATGGGGGCAGGGGAGACTTGTGCTTAAGGGCAGAGAAGGGAGCCAGATTCTTAGAACTTGACCCATGGTAAACTTTCCTACTTTGGACTCTAATCATTAGTAGGTGGGTTCCCTATGGGATTGTCTCTAAAATTTGCATCAGCTAAACCGTTCTCATAGCCCTTCCCACTGGTCCTTTTCCCCCAGACTCAGCCCTCTTGACCATCTGCCCCTGCTTTCATCAGTTGCCTAGATCCTACCCAGCCCCAAGAAGAGAGAAGCAGGTTCTCATGTAATGTCCTTTTAGGCCCACTGCCTGACTTATTCCTGTCCCCTGGTGTGCCCTGTGTGTGACTTCCTGAAAGCCCAGCCCGGTTGACCTGGAATACAGGGCCCAAGGGAGGCTGCTCCAAAACCCGCCTGGACCCTACTGATTCTATCTTCCCACCCCTCTCCCTCAATGTAGGCGGGACGCATGCTTCACATCCCTCATGAATACTCTAATGACTTCCCTGCCTTCGCTGGTTCAGCAAAAGGGGAGGCTGCTCCTTGCTGCCAACGTGGCCACTCTGGGCTTGCTCATGGCTCGGCTCCTCAGCACTTCTCCAGGTGAGACCCTCAGGGTGGAGCCAGGCCAGGGACACCCAGCCCCGGAGCCAGCTGCTGCTCCTGATGGAGCTAATCATTGTTCCGAGAAAGGAGAAAGCGTGTCAGGCTGGTTTTCTGTCTGGAAGGCTTAGGGCCAGACACCCAGGTTCTCTGGGAAGATGACAGTGTGTTCAAAAACCTTTTAGAGGTGTTCAGGGTGACTCTGCTTGGAAGCAGGGATAGGGACAAGGTCAAAGTTGTCTGCAGACTTAGGGATCTGTGGATCCAGAGGTTTCTGCAGCCTTGAAGTTGGTATTGCCTCCGAGCTTCCTTCCTAGAAAAACTTTACCACTTGCTCCCAGCTGGGCTCTGTTCCTTAACCCCTTGGCTGCAGGCTTTGCTTTTCACAGAGGTGAGAAACCTCTCCCCTGGCTGAGGCCCAGCCCCACCCCCCTCCCCGGCTGGAGCCTCCACTCTGACTGTGGGTGTCTGCTGGGTCCCCTTTGTCCCTGACTGTTCCCTATGCCCCATCTGTCGGGTTGGACGAGATCAGCACACAGTCTTCCAGGAACAGGGCATAATGTTCTTTGTTCCCTGACTTTAAATACTGAATCTGAAAGTCGAAAGGAGGTCTAGACCAGCTAGGAAAAAGTAAGTGTTCCCATTACCAGTTCCTTGGGGTCGCAGTGTGGTCTAGACCCAGCAGGAGGCACAGCCTCCCTCCTCTGGGAGAGGCTACTCTAGGTGATACTAGCGCACACGGGACACATGCTTTCCCAGTCCCCGGATAGTAGAACATGCTTATGTCTCTTCCAGATCAGGCATAATCTGTCTGAACAGTGAGTGTACCAGCAGGTTTGGGGTTCTCCTGTTCCTCCCTAATCCAGCCTTGGCTGCTGTGGTGTGTGTCGGGGGGGTGAGGTTGTTGCAGGCTTGCTGATGAGGGGGGTACCAGGCCACCTGGCCCTGTTGCTCCCTCTGCTGGCCCAAAGAGAAGAGTCAGAGCACTTGCCAGCCCCTCCTGTGCACAAGCTGCTGAACGGAGACTGTGAGTGATCTCCAGGACATTCCCCCTTCCTCCTCGGCCCCTCCCCTCTGCTCACAGTGCTGGCTTTCAGGCATAATAACTCACATTCATCAAGTGCTTTTGCTTACATTTTCATTGGTCTTTCTAACAGCCTTTCCAGGTAGCTAGTATGATTATTATGAGCCCATTTTACAGATGAGGAAACGGGCTTAAAGTGATTAAACCTGAGATCATACAGGAAAAAGTGGCTGTGCTTAGGGCCCTTGAATCCTGGCCTCCTGTCTCTAGGTGCAGGACTCTTTCCACTGGACCAAGCGTAATTATCATTGTGCACGTTCACGTACAAAGTCCTTGTGTAGACCACAGCACCGTGACTTTGTATCCCCAGCTCAGGACCTGGCTGATAGGAGGTGCTTAATGAGCACCTGTTAATGGTAGGATTGGTTAAGTCTGTCCCATTGCTGAGCCATAGGGTTTTTATTTGTAAATTGGGCATCACCATACGCTGCTTACCTCACAGAATACTTAGTAAGCCTTACAGTGCTAACTCAGTGTTCCAAGGCCAAAAGTGAGTAGTGCCAGGAAGTTGTCTCTAACCTCCCTCACTCCTGCTGCCCCTCCGATGGGGTACAGTTGGGACAGAATTCAGGGTGGAGGGCTGCCTCTGCCCTGCCTGACATTCTTCCCCTCCCTGTGCTTGTATTGCAGCTCTCCAGGGGACCCCCGCCTCCCGTGGCTTCTTTGCAGCCGCCATCCTTTTCCTGTCTCAGTCCCATGTGGCTAGAGCCAGCCCTGGCGCCGAGCAGGCCACCCTGGCCCTAGCCCCCCGACTATGAGGGGGTGTGGGCCGACCTGCAGGAGCTGTGGTTCCTGGGCATGCAGGCCTTCACAGGCTGCGTGCCTCTGCTCCCCTGGCTGGCCCCAGCTGCCTTGCGTTCTCGCTGGCCTCAGGAGCTCCTGCAGCTCCTGGGCAGTGTCTCCCCAACCTCAGTCAAACCTGAGATGGTGGCTGCCTACCAGGGTGTCTTAGTGGAGCTGGCGCGAGCCAACCGCCTCTGCCGGGAAGCCATGCGGCTGCAGGCCGGGGAGGAGACTGCCAGCCACTACCGAATGGCAGCCCTGGAGCAGTGCCTCTCAGAGCCCTGAGGGAGGCGCTCGCCCGCCACCCCCTCCTGGCCCCTGCCCTGGCTACCCAGGAGGGAGGGGAGAGAGAGGGAGGGAGGGAGGGAGGGAGGGAGGAGGAGGCACCTTCCCCAAACCCCCCAAGCCCCCAGCTTTCTGGCTTTTCTGTACCCAGCCAGGCCTAGGGCCGGAGCATGGAGCCGGACCCCTGGTGAAAGAGCTCCAACCTACTCCACTGGGGTGGGGAAGGGCAGCAGACAGCAGTGTTGTGACTTGTGGAGGACTCAGGGGCCTTCTTCCCATCAGCCACAGCTTTGAAATAAGTGTTTGTGTCCCTGAGAAGGATGGTGCAGGTGGAGTTCCCCCAGGCCCACAGTATTGGGCACCTTTCCCCCTGGGAGGTAGGGCGGAGGAGGTGAGAAGGGACAGGTAGGCAGGTGGGCAGGCAGGGCTTGTATGGGCTTCAGTCTCTGCCGGTGGGCCCTGCCGGCCAGGGCATGGGCTTCCCTTTCTGTGACCCCCCTGGGATCTCCTGGGGTAGAGATGGGATTGAATCCTCCCTGACCTTGCTAAGATGAGAACCTCTCTGACTGAGCCCCACCTTGGGGACTCAGCGGTCTGCAGGCTCTAGTTCTGATGGTGGGTGATGTTGGGGGAAGATGATTATGTATTTTTCTTCCTGCACCAAGCTTGGATGTGTACCCTTCTAGCCCCTGCCTGCATTCCACCCTCTTGCCCTCTGGCCCTGCCCTGCTGGAGCCAGGGGACAGTTCCCTGGATCCGCATGTCTCCCCTCCTTTCCCCTAGTGACTGATTTTCCATTGTGTTGGTGCCTGGCTTCAGCTCTCTGTCCCTCCCAGCAACTAACTTCTCTGCATGGAAACTTCAGCAGCTGTCAGCCCCCGCAGACGCTGCCTATCCCACAGGCATGGGGAGGGGGTCCCCTTGCCCCATTCACCTCATGTTCTGTAGATGTGCCAAGCTCGAACTGTACACCTGTGGACATTCAATAAATAGTTATTGGTGATAATTGAATTGATGTGCCATCTGTCTGCTGATTAACACCCAGTCCCTGAGAATTCATGGGCCTCTCCCATGGTCCCCACAGGGTTGTGGAATGAGACTAACCCAGGAATCCCTGACTTCCACCTGGAAGCTTATTAGGAGGCTCAAGACCAGCCAGCCTCAGGCATCACCCACTCTGAAGTGCTGTCCCTGAGCCAAGTCTGCACAGGGCCAATTGCTTAGCCCCGTAGAGTTGTCACTAGGATGGAGCAAATGAGACTTTGCCTGGGGTGCTGAAATGTAAAAGGTTCTCCAATGGGTGACCACACCCCAGGTAGGCTTCCCTTGCCTTCCCCCCAACTTTAGTCCATGGACAAAAACTGCTGTGTACTGCCTTAGGTGTTAGATCCCGGAAAAGGCAACCAGCCTGGCTTAGGGAGAAAACCAGAATGCAAGTTTACTCTTCTAGGAAGTCGTATTCCAACTTCCAGGTCAGCCCCTAGAGTCCAGCTGAGGATGATGTAGGGGCGAGGAGACCAAAGTTGAGCTGCTGTTGTGAGATGTGTCCACCAGGTGTCACTATGAGATCTCTAGTCTTCTATCCCCAGCCTCCCCAGCTTACCCATCTATTCAGGCCCGGACTCAATGGGAGGATTCATCTGGACACAGGAGTAACACATGCTTGGGAGACCAAGGGACTAGAAGCGAATTGGGCTTTCAACTTTCCAAGAAAAGCCAAAATACAGTTTGGGGCTTTGGCAATGAGAAGGGAGAGAGTTGGTATGCATCTTCACTGGATGGCGGTCTACAGGCCAATGTGTCTGGATGTGTGTGTGTGTTTAACTGTACACATGTGTGGCTCCTTGGTGCCTCTTCCCCTTCCCAGGCCCCAGCTCAGGGAGAGTTCCTCTCTGTGTGTATGTACCTGTGCCCCTCATCATTCTCTGCTAGCCTTGATTTCCTCATCTGTAAAATGGGAATTATCATGGCACCCACCTCATAGGGTATTATGAGGATAAAATGAGACAATATTTATAAACCTGAAAGTCTCCATCTTATTCATTCGTTCATTCAACGGTTTGTATTGACCACCTTCTATGTGGCTACCACCAAAGAGGAGTCAAAGATCCACCTGTTGCCCGGAGCTGGGGAAACAAGACACATACATAAAACAGTCATGGTCACATAGTGGAAGAAGTATTGACCACAGAGCCAAAAGCCACTTGCTAGCTGTGATGTGGCCTAAGTCACCTAAGATTTTTGGGCCTCAGTATCCCTTGGGAAAAAAGAGGATTGGACTCAGCAGGGTAGTAATAGTAGAAAAAATGCCGGATTTCAAGTCAGAGAACCCAGGTTCAAATCCACACTAGGTTACTTGCTACAAGACACTTCACACCTCTTTGAACCTCAGTTCCTATATGTAAAAGGAGAGCGATGGAGTAGAAGATCTCGGAGGTTGCTTCTGGGTCCTTTTATCAATAAGGACTCTCATGAACTTGGAAAACCCAGGTCACTATGGTCAGCCTCGTGCTAAACAGGGCAGTGCAGACACACAGAGAGGAGTTCGGAGACGGAGGAGTCACTGGAGCCTGGAGTTGTCAGGAAAGAAGCTTGTGGTGGGAGGTGGGTGGGGAAGCCAAGGGGATGTGGAACTCCAGCAGGAGATTGGGCTTAGATTGTAGAGGACCTTGAACGCCAGGCTGAGTTTGAACTTTTATTTAACAACAACAGTAAACTACGTCTTTCATCTCTCCCCTATCTATCCCTGAATGGAGAATCCCCAGTTTTACAGAAAGAAGGAAAGCCTCCCTTCCCCTCCACAAATCAGTCCCTCCCCTCCCAACTTAGCTCCTACCAAGGGCTCTGCAGGAGCAGCTAAAGCAGAGTGAATGTTGTCCACCTCTCTCTCCAGGGAATGAGTGTGAGTGTGAATGTGTGTGTGTGTATGTGTGAGTGTGAGTGTATGTGTGAGAGTGTGTGTGAGTGTGTATGTGTGAGTGTGTGTGTGAATGTGTGTGTGAGTGTGAGTGTGTGTGTGTGTGTGTGTGTGTGTGTGTGTGTGTGTGTGTGTGTGTGTGTGTTGGGAAAAGCCAGTGGGAGCTAGAGCAGAAGTCTTTCCCAGTGGGGCTCTCCTGTGGCTTCTGGGCCTGCTTTTGGAGTCTGCCTTGATTGCTTCACAAGAGTGTTAGGGCAGGCACAGCTAGGTGGCACAGAGCTCTGGCCCTGGAGTCAGGAGGATGTGAGTTCAAATCCAGCATCAGACACATGACACTTACTGTGTGACCCTGGACAAGTCACTTAACCCTGACTGCCTCACCAAAAAGCACAAAAAAAAAAGAGTGGTAGGACAGTCCTCAAAATGTAGGCACAGGAGCCACAGGGTAAATGTCCTATTAACCCCAGAGGGAACCTTTCCTACGTAGTTAGCCGAGAGTTCACCAGGAGACCGACATGGCCTATCTGGACCACCTACCAGCTTGGAAAGACAGTGCCATACAATGGAAAGAACTCTAGATTTGAAGTCAAAGGACCTGAGTTCAAATTCTGCCTTTATCTCTTACTAATTATATGACTTTGAATAAATCCCTAAACCTCTCAGGTCCTCCGTTTCTTCATCTGTAAAAGGAATGAGTTGGACTAATCGGTCTCTGAGTGAGTCCTATGAGCCTATGATGTGGCACAGTAGATAGAGTGCTAGGCCTGGAGTCTGGAAGACCTGAGTTCAAACCTGGCCTCAGACACTTACTAGCTGTGTGACCCTGAGCAAGTCACTTCACCCTGTTTGCCTCAGTTTCCTCATCTTTCAAATGAGCTGGAGAACCGGGCAAACCACTCGAGTATCTTTGCCAAGAAAACTCCAAATGGGGTCATGAAGAATCGGAAACGCCAGAAATGACTCAACGGCAAAAGGATCCCGAGAGAGACACTTGTCTCAGCTCTCTGCCGGGGAGGGGGGGGACCCTTCTGAGTCACGGGGCCCCTGGGCTGCCAACCTCCTTCCCTCCCTTCCTCTAGTCTGAGCCCTAGCTGGGCTCTCAGGATCTGGGGACACCATGACAGAATCAGCAGCCTTTAGGCAAAGCCACAGCCAAGCGGGAATCCCTTCTATGACATTCATCTATTCAGCAAGCCCTTACTGAGGACCTGGTGTTATGTGCCCAGCACTGCGGCAGACACCAGAGACAGGAAGGCAGAAAGGACAAAGCATCCCAGATTAGTCAATAAGTCCACAACCATCTATGAAGTAGTTGCTCTAGATAGTTCATCACCTTCCTCTCCCCACCGATAGAGGAGGTGTCAGGGACCCTGTGGGCTTGGGGAGCAGTTTAGGAAAGGGAAGGGGAAGGCGCCTCTCCGTGGAGCAGCCTGGGCTCACGGACAAGGGACATTCTTCCTCTCTTCAGAACCTGACACCTTCTCCCCAGGAGCTCTCAGGCTCCTGCAGTTTCCCCCCAAGAAAGGGCCCTAATGGAAAAAGGTAGTGTAGCCACCATCTTTTTATCTAAGGGCACTGGATCTGGATTCAGGAAGATCTAGGTTCTAATCCAGGCTCAGACATTTAACCTGATTGAGTCACTGGATGTTTTAGTTTTCTCACCAGGGAAATGCAGGAGTTGGAATCCATGACCCAGCTGGAAACCCATGATCTCATTACCATATGAAAATTTCCCTTTTGTTCCTATCTTCACCTCTGCACCATCATGTTCCACTGACCCTAGTCTGGGCATCTCTTGGGTGGTCTTTATTTAGAACAGAGAACCCTGGGTATTTGAAGGAAGAGTGAAGTAGGGAATCCAACAATGGATGATGAGTATAAATGCAGGCCCACTTTGGAGGCAGCTAGAAGGCACAGTGGATGGAGCACTGGGCCTGCAGACAGGAAGACCTGAGTTCATATCCTGCCTTAGACACTTACCTGCTGTGGGACCCAGGTGAGTCACTTAATCTCTGTTCGCCTTCATCTACTAGAGAGGGAAATGGCAAACCACTCTACTATCTTTTCGAAGAAAACCCCATACAGGATCACGAAGAGTCAGACACACCTAACCTCCAACAATGATGCTGGCATGCTAACATATACACCTGCATACTTACCACTATGTGCAGGGGTTTCCATTAGCAACTTCAAATGCTATCTGTGCCACGAAGTAAACCTTGCTTGGGGACTACTGAATCTCCCTACTGCAGGCGTGGGATACACTCATTGAGGATCAGGCAGAGAAGCTTGAGGATAGCTCCTGAGATGCTGTGGATCCATTTATAGACACAGGCTGGAGTCATCCTTTTGTGCTGATCACATAATAAAGGGGGTCAGTTGTGCAGTTGGCCTTTCCCCTTTCCCTTTAAAAAACAAACAACAACCAACCTCTTGAATTAACAACAAAACAATACTCCCCAGTGAGCATGTCACTGTTGCCCAGAGCAGGATTCTTATTACACATATAACACAGAGAGAACTGAACACAAACACAACTTCACACAAACACATATGCTCCCACTCCCACATCATTTCTCACGCACAGATGCACACGATTGCTCAGGACCATCACTTCAAATCTAGAGATCCCTCCCAGGGCTGCAAGAAGAGAGGGGTTTTTTTCCTCTCCAACCCCCAATCATCTCAGCCTATTGTCTGAGACTACAAACTCTCATAAATAATCAGATCAGGCTCTGGGCTACCCTAGGTTTGCTTTGGGAGAGCCCAACTCGCTTAGGGCTCACTCCTTAACAGTGTCTGGCATATAGTAAGCATTTAATAAAAGCTTGTGATCTTCCCTCCTTACTGCTGCCAGCCCCACTCTGCCCTAAATCTCAAGGGCAATCTGAGAGGGGCCTCCTTCCAGGCAAGCAAAGCGAAGCTATTGGTAGTAGGGTGAGCAAAGGACAAGGAGAAATGGTGGTACAGCCCTTAAGGCTGGGACAGACTATCTTCTTGAATGTAATGGGTACTTAATAAATGGTTGCTGGGTTGAACTAGTTCTCACCCCCTTTATTTCTTTTTCTTCCACTTTCAGGCCTTTCTTTTCTCTCCTACCCCTCTTTCTTCCCTTCTTCCTGACTCTTTCTTCCCTCTTTATTTTCCTTCCTGACCATCTTGCTTCCCTCCTCTCCCCTCTCTTATTTCCTTCTTCCTCCATCCCTCCCTTGTCTTCTTTGTCTTTTTTCCTCTTCTGTTCCCTTCCCTCACTCCTTTCCCTTTCCCTCTCCTTCCTCCTCTTTGTTCTCTTTCATTGTAACTTTCCATTTTCTCTTGCTTCCTCTTCTTGATTTCTGTTCCTCTCCTGACCCCTTGATTTTCAGTGGCTCCTGTCCAGCCCCTTTGAGGTGAGAGCTATGTGTTTGAGGGATAAGGGATTAGATCGGATGTTAGAAACTGTCAGGAAGAGGGAGAAGTAAAATGGGGATGATGAGAACAATCTTGGAACTGTCACAGAGATGCAAAACACTTTGTGTCACAGCCATACATTCAATCACACACATGCTACACACACAGACACCATCACAATACTGCCTCTGTGTCACAGCCACAAGACATGGCCATATATGTGTACACATATATGTATATATAACACGTGTATGTACACACATGTGTATATAGAACATATACACACGTATAGACATATATACTCCCATAGATCAGGCTCACACATAATCAGGGATACAAGGCCTCCACATCCAAAGTCCTCAGATGTCACCATCACACCCAATCACACACATAACCTCAGTCTCAGACGAAAACTTTCTCACCTCGTCTTCGCCCCTCTCAGGCTCTCCCTGGACAGTCCCCAGGGCCCCACAGGCTTCTCGGGCCTAGGAAGGTGGAGAACAAGAACTAAGTTCAGGCTGGCCCAAGTGTAAGGGGAAACTGGGCCGGATGGGGGTCAGACAGAAGCCTCCTGGTACATCAGGGAGAGAACAGACACCTCTCCCACCTTCCCAGAGCAGCAGCACCGCTCCGGGCACTTTTTCGTGAATTCTTTCTTTCCGCGGTCCTCCCCTTCACATTTCAGTGTGTCCACGAAAGCCAGTGGCCCTGCCTTAATCTTTCTCCTGGCCTCTCACTGGACCTTTCAGTCCTCAGAGATGTGGCTAAGTAAGCTCCAGGAGGGCGGGTGAGCGAGTGCAGCCAACCTGGCCCCAGGGCCTCTGTTCTTCGGTTGCAACGCTGAGAAAGCGGGTAGCCTAGGACTCCAGGAGAGTAGGGAAAGGTGCCATACCGAGGAGGAAGCTGCGGAGCGTGGACCCAGGCGTCAACATACGGAGAAGTCCTGAGGATCTGTTTGGTGTAGACTATCCCAAGTGGCACATGTTCCGGTGCTACCCTTTAGAAACTCGGTAGAATCTCCCCTCCCTTGACAAAGACCCCTCTACACTGTCCCCCCTCCCCTCCTTCCTCGCCTCCCTGGGGACGCAAAGAAGGCCCAAACTAAAGCCCCCGGACTGTCTCTTTAATGCGCGCCCCCGGCGCCCCCCTGCGCGCTCCCGCCCATATAACTGAAGCGCATGGAGCTGGTCTGGGCTCAGACGGAGAAGGGCTGGGAGATGGGAATGAGCTAAAAGACTTTTCCAACTGGAATCCTCCTCCTCTTCTTCCTCCCGCCCTGCTCAGGCTATCCCAGCTCGGTCCCCTTGTGGCCCCCAGCCCAAGTCCCTGCCCTCACTCCGCCGCCTGCCGGCCCCTCCTCCAGCGCCCCATGGCTCTGAGCGGGGGCTCCGGACATTGACGAGCCCGCTCCGAGGGGCTGCCCCCGGCGCCCACCTCTGGCCGGCCGCGCAGACTCCCGGAGCTCTGGGACTCGGCACTGAAGGGTCCCCAGTCCGTCTGTCAAGTCGTCTGTTTGTCAGTCCCTTCCGCGAGGCCCCGCTGTCCCTCGGGCCGCCGCCTCCAGCCCGCCCGCACCCATGCTGGTTCATACTTACTCCGCGATGGTGAGTACTGCACAGGGCTGGGGGTGGGGGTGCGGGGGCAGTGAAAACACCAGGATATGTGAATTGGATCGGGGGGTTTGGGGCGGGGAAAGCCCGGGGCCACAGCTCAGCCCCGGACAGTCCTGACGCTCAGATCCAATTCGTACTCCCAGCCCGCTCCCCCGACAAAAACGAAATCTTGGCAGGGGAAGCGCGGGGCTTCTATAGTCCCCAAAGGTGGGGTGCAGGCTGATTGCCCTCTCTGACTGCAGGCTAGGAGAGACCGGGGCACCCGCTGGATGTTCGGTGTTGGGTCTTTGAGACAAATGCTTGGAGATCGGCCCCTGGGTTTGCGGAAAGACTAGCGCTGGGCTCTCAGGGGCAAAAAAGTGGGGGGAGGAGAGGAATGAGGAGTAAGGAGTTAAGAGTTAGGGGTTGGGGCATCCCACCTCCATTATTACACCCCTCCACCAATCCTTCACCACCCTGGGGCCCTGGAGCCACGGTACTAGAGAGGGCCCCTAGGGCAGTGACCGGGAAAGGAGAGTTTGTATTTGTTTGGGGTGGGGGTGGGGGGCAGGACTTGATTCTTGTTGTTTCTATTTGTTTAATCCTTTTTGTCTTTGATGTTTAACTAAACTGATACTCGGTTATTCGATTTGGATAAATTCTAGCCCTTCGCTCCGGTTAATTTCCCTACTTTCCCTCCGGGGGTCTTTTCTGACTTCTTGTTTCTGGGGTCTCACTGTGGCTAATTCCAGGCTTAAATTGGGCTCGGGACGGGAGTGGAGGTGGACCTGGGCTGGGGCTCCGACCGGATTGACACTCGCTCCTCTGTCCGTCCCTTCGGTCTGTCCAACTCTCAGTCTTTCTCTCCCGATTACACAGGACCGTCCGGATGGGCTGAACGGCGCGGCTGGCGGGGGGCGCCTGTCGCAACTCTCCTCCCTCAGCCAGGCGGCCTTCTCGGCGGCGGCGGCGCCTCCTCTGTGCCACACGCCTGCCTCGGACTTCCAGCCGCCCTACTTTCCGCCACCCTATCCGCAGCCGCCGCTGCCCTACGGTCAAACACAGGATACGGCTTTCCCCCACCTAGGCGAGCCCTACAGTGGCCTTGGGACACTCCACCAGCACCCGCACCCTCACCAGCACCAGCAGCCCGCGTGGCCTTCCCCCCCGCGGCGGCCGCCAGGACGAGCAGGGCCTCTTGGCTCAGACTCACCGAGCCCTGGGCCTGGACCCTCGTCGGGATTACCCGGGCGTTCCCCGTCTCCTGCACGGCCTGGCGGACGGAGCTCACGGCCTGGCGGACGGGCCGCTTGGCCTGCACGGGCTAGCAGCACATCACGGCTTGGAGGATCTCCAGGTGAGGGCCCAGTGGGACCGAATGGGTCGGGAGGGAACCCGGGAGACTCCTGTCTGAAACCCAGGGCGGGAGAAAGGCAAGCTGGGAGAAGACAGGGTGGTACTTGAGAGAAAGGGCCATCGGGAACATGAGTGGACGGGGAAAGGGCCAGCAAGCACCTAGTAAGGACCGTCAGAGGACAGGGAGAAAGTGAGGGTCATCCCCAAGGAACCCAATACCGGGAAAAGAGTCCTGGCTGGGACAGGCCTGGGAGAGATGCTCGCCAGTTTCTGGAAAACCTGGAGAAGGCTCACTGGGGAATGATGACGGACAGGGAGCAGGAACAGAACCAGGGAAAAGATTCCGCGACGCTGATCTGGGGAAAGGCCTTTAGGAGCCCTGGACGTAAAGTTATAGGATTGAGTACAGGAACGAGACCCAGAGAAGTGTGGGCAGGGTAGGACAGGAACTGGGAGCGAAAGAAGAACCCTTAGGCTCAAGCCGGGGTTTCTCACGATGCCCAGAACAAGATTAAGAAATTTGTGCTGTATAACTTTCCGTGAATCCCGGGTTAGAGGACCTCCAGACCTCCCTCTCTCTCGAGCCTTGGCTCTCGGACCGCTCTGAGTTAATGATCTTCCCGCGGCTGCCCAGCCGGAACGGGTAGCAGCAGGATAAATCTAAGCCCGGGGGGAATATCGCGTGCGGACTACGCAGCTGGGGGCCAGGGCCAGGGACCCACCCTAAGCCGGATCGCTCAGCTCAGCAATGACGCCCACATTTTGTCAGTACCCGAATCCCCCGTCCCGGGCAGGCAAATTATTATCTGGGCTCAGGATCTCGGTTGCCAACATTCATGATTTTAAATATTTCTCTTTATTTGCCTTCTCAACCCTTCAGGCCAGGGTTACCAAAGTACCGACCCTTCCTCCACTCTACCCCTTCCCGTATCCCCCATCTGGCACCTTTTCGGCTCAACCTGACCCTCCTCTGCTTAGAAATCCAGTCCTCCTCCCTGCCTCCCCAACCAAGCAATCCAGCTCATCCCTCCAGCTCCCCAGCCAGCTGCAGCCCTGGATCACGGGCTGTCTAGTCAGCTCCCTCATTTTGCTACCTTTTCCTCCCTGTCCCCTCGGAGTCCTCACTCTCTCTACTCCAGCTCCTTTCAACTTGGTCCCTCTGCCTGGTGTATTTTTCAAATCCCTTTCCTTTTCCTGCTCCGAGTCCCATTCTCTAACTTATTTCTTAGTCTTTGACCCATACCTTTTCTCCTTCCCCCTGTTCCACGGTCTCAGCAGCTGCTGCCCTTTCCTGGTTTCCTTTGAGAGATACACTTTGGGTCTGGTAAATCCCCTGCCCTTCACCCCATCGACTCTCTCGGCCTCATTGGCCTGGGGGATGTGTCTTCTCAGCCGCTGTCTCCCTTTTCATATGCTTTCCCCCTCCCCCCGGCCAGCCTGGGCCCTCTTTCTTGACCATGCAAGTTTTCTTCTACCCAAACCCCGACTGGGGTAGATGGTGGGTTTTGGAGGGGCTGGGAGATGACCAGCCAGGCCTGGCCCCTTCCCCACTTGGGTTCTTTCCTCCCGAACCAGGCCGTGGACGACACTGGGATGAGCCTCCTCGATCAGTCCGTGATCAAGAAAGGTAGGGAATCAGCCCAAGGTCGGGTTAGACAGGGGAGGCCGCTGCCTCGGGCGCTTAGCTTATAGGCAGGAAGCCCCTACATCAGCTGGGACTTGGGACCAGCCTTTGGGAGAAGTGACTAGTGCTTTTCTTAAGCACCAGAGCTTTCCAGTGCTCGGCCCAGTGTTGGGTCCTCCCTCAGAGCTGAAGTCATGGATCCAAGTCCCCTGTTCGCAGCACCGAGGTTGCTTGCTCACTTCATCCTCCCCAACTGATTGCCTCCAGGCCCTGATCCTCTTAGGTCCCTCTCCCCCTTCTTGGCCCTGTACCAAGGCACTTAAAATCCAATAGATCACTACTAGGTTGGAGGGAAGACACTTTGAGGGCTGTGGTCTAGAGGCTTGGGCCAAGGGATACTGTAAGGAAGGGTCTGCCACAAGGAACTCTGTAAGAAATATTATAGCCAGGTTCTCTGTAAAGGTTGGGGGTGGGTGGAGAGCAGCGTGCACTGGGTGCTGGAAGTAGGGTGCTGGCCTAAGTCTTGCTGAAACTCAGGGCTGGGCCCCAGGGGGGCTACTTGACTCTCCCTGGGGTTGCTGGGTGGGGCTGCATCGATTTTCTGTCTCTGGAATTAATTTGCAGAACTAGTTAAGTCACTTCCCAGTTTCCTCAGGGGATGGGGGTGGGATTCCCAGCAGATTTCTGAGATTTCTGAGTTATAAAGGAGGGCCACAGGGCCTCCCCCACCAGGCAGAGGTCATTCTCCATTCCCCAGTGACCAATAGCTTTTTAATTTTGGCTAAATTTGAGGGTTGATGTGTGTGTGTGTGTGTGTGTGTGTGTGTGTGTGTGTGTTGGGGGGGAGTGTTGTGTGCCTGTTGGGAATTTCAGAATAACCTCCTTCTTTATGTTTCTGTCTGGGAGAGTCTAGGGTAGGGCTATGACAGCAGCTGCAGATCAAGGAGCTAAGGGGGGGGGTGCCTCAAGCCAGATCAAGGAGGGAGGGACCATAGAAGAGAGAGAAAAGGGTGGGTTGAAGTGATGGAGGAGAATGGCTTGGTGAGAAGAGAAAAGCAGGAAGTGTGTTCATGGTTAGTGGAGGCATAGTAGAAGAAAGGAAAGGGGAATGAGAGCAGATAGAAGAGGGGGGTGTAGAGGGGACTAAGAGCAGGGAGAAGAAGGAAGTGTGAGATGCTAGGGAGAAGGGAGAGGAGGAATGTAGCAGGACACTGGGGAGAAGAGTTCACTTTAAAAGGAGGAAATACTAAACTGGAAAGAAGCACAAAATTTAGGGAGAAGAGTGTTTTGCCTAAAGTGGAATGAATAGGAAGGGAAGTGAGGGGAACTGGGACTTACATTTTCCTTTCCCTGCCTGGGCACAGGGTATATAGTTTAAGACGGAAGCCATTGCTCCTCCCTTCTTCCTACTATCCCTTCTTTTCTCCCAGAGGATTGGACTCTTTGTTTTTCAAATCAAGTGAATTCCCACTTGGATTTGCCTTTCACTTGTTCTCTCCGGGAAACCCAGTTACAGCCTAGGGGACAGAGAAAAGGGTGGGTTACACCTGAATCTGCTCCAGGTGAGAAATGTGACCAACCCCTTTTAGGCTCAGTCTGGAGGTGGGAAATTCTGGGCTTCAATGAAACCAAGTAGAGTCAGGCCCAGAGAGGAGTTAGGCCCTGAGGAGATGAGAGGGGGTTGGGAAGGGAAGTTGGGGATAGGGAGCTTT